GGTGTGTCGTCAGGGCGGTCCAGATGAAGCCTTTTGTCATGGTGCTAATGATAATTTAGAGGGTTGGACAGTGGACTCAGTAAATTGCCGGATCTTTCGCCGGCTTAGTATTCCCATTTTTAGCTTCAAGCTACAGCTTGACTCTTTGACGAGTTGTAATTTGGCGCTAGGACTAGCGAAGATCACTGACCATATCGACTATGAGGCCTGTTAAATCTCTGAACATGTACAAAGTTCACGTTCCGACATTGGAAATAGTCATACCTTATGACAGAGGATTGCGAGTTTGCCCTGACAACACTATCAGGCTGAGAAGGCGAGGTCAAACCACTTTTAATAAAAATTTGGCCTGAAATGTAAATTCTCTTTCGAATCACTTCGCGGTGTTTCTACACTTTCTAAAATATATATTTGTTCCAATATACTTCCTCAAACAATTATACTCGGTCGCCACTTCAACCCACACATATCCATTCACGTAGCTACGCACAAGCACACACACACACACGCACATGCACACAACTTACTGCACACATTAATGCATGCTCATAATATACACATTTACAAAACACCATTCTCACGAATCCACTCGGATCCTGGCCTCATTGAGCAGTGGTACCTACGAGGCTTATGTGGACGGGAAATGTGTATACACCTACAAAGACAGCGGCTCCTTCGGGGAGTTGGCTCTGATGTACAACACTTCAAGAGCCGCCACCATCATCGCCAAGACGGACGGCATCCTCTGGCACATGGACAGAAACACGTTTCGTCGGATCGTCTTGGTGTACGCGTTTCGGAAACGCTGCCTCTACGAGGAGTTGCTGCGCTCGGTGCCCATGCTCGCACCGCTTAGCAACTACGAGCTGGCCAACCTGGCAGATGCGCTCGCCAGTCGCACTTTTGAGGACGGAGAGCAGATCATAAAGCAGGGCGAGCCGGGAGAGGAGATGTATTTTGTAGAAGAGGGCAATGTCCGCATCGCAGTCAGTAGTCAGGTTGGTTGAGTTGATCTTGTATTCTCCCTATTCTATCGCTTTCCCGCCTTCTCCTTGCCCGTACTCGATGCTAGTCCCATTTAACCTGGAATTAGCATACCCTCGCTCTGGTAGCCTTTCTACATTCCGTCAGGACAGATGAATTGTGCAATCTGTCAGAAGACGTGTTGAGTTGGCGAGATAGGCGGAAAAGTGTGATGAAGCCAGCTCGTCCGGAATGGGTTGTGTGATTTCGGGAAGAGGTCAGTGCCAATTGGCTTTCACGACTGCTTCAGACCGCAAAGTGTTGGTGGTGCTGCGCTGCTCCTCAATGGATGATGGCATTCGGACGCAGGCTTGAGAAGCAGATTGCCACAAACGAGCAGCCAACTGAAGGCCGAGGCTACAGTTCCCTCGTCTTGTCCCAGCGCTTGGTAAAGACTAACTTCACGCTGGTCGGGCGCAGGTTGGCCGGTCTGCACTTCCAATAAAGGCGGCAGTTATGGCATGAATTTTCATCTTTTAAAGAGAACTTGGTTGGAAGCAATTCGTGAATTGGTTTCACCGGAAGCCTTGGAATGAAGACTTTTGGATTGGGCGACCAGATTGTCTCGCGAACCCGATGAACTTTTGCTAAGTTTTCGTCTGTACAGTGGCAGACATCGTCAGAGCAAGAAAGCATACTTTACGATAGAACACACCGAACACGATAAGCCAACAAACTAAGATATGAAGACCGGGATGGTGTGGCGTCTGGTATGGTCACAGTCTCCTTTTGTTGTATAGAAGTTGATGTAAATAGAGAAAGGTGAGCGGTTACCGTTCCTGGAGGTTGAAATGATTGGCTCTAATGGAATGCTCAAACAGAAATTGTTCAGAAAGAAGTCCTATGCTGAGATAGTACTCCATTTCCGGTCCCATCACAATTACAGGCTGAAGATTGGAATGATGAGGAGCATAATCATCATAAGCCTACGTCTGACGGATGCAGATTTTTGGGACGAGGAGCTGGACAAATTGACGAGGATATTCTTCGGCAATGGCTAACCAAACGAAGTGATACAAAGAGACATACGGGCCGTTAAAAGCCGATGGCAGAAAGGGGACTATGAAAGAACAGTAAGCACGATGAAAGATTCACAAAAGTGTATATGCCTACCTTCCTGCAAACTAACTCATAAGTTACGGCCAATAATGAGTAAATGGAATATTCACGTGGCCATGAAAGAGAAATCAACACTTTTCACAAGTCTACCAACGCAAAATAAAAGGGTAGATAAATTTGACTGTTCAGGAGTTTATTGTATATCATGCGGCGCCTGCGGACAGAAATTTATGGGCGAAATCGGGAAAAAAATTAGTACACAAATCAAACAACAACAAAGGCTCTGCAGGAAAATAGATACTGAAAGATCAGAACTAGCGGAACACATCGCATTGGGAGGCAACGGAAAGAAGGACCCCATACGGTGACAACACAAAGAAGCGGAAGATTAGGGAGGAGACAAATCTAGTGAACAGGAGATTGGAGGAAGGAAGAATTTGCTCAAGCAAACTCGGGGAAAACAGGAATTGAGCAAGACCAGCAAAAAGAAGACGCCTGGATCAGGAATCTATCGCTAACCGGAGAAAAAAAGATCGCGATAAAGAAAGTGGGGGGAAGGTGTTTTCGGCCATAAATTGAAGATGTTTGTCAGTGGGTGATGTCCATTTCGATTAAACCAGTACAACTTTGGGGGCCTGGCAGTCAGGGAGCTGAGCAGATGGATAAGCAAACCGTCACGGAAATTCGGCGTTATGGCCAAAATGTACCAGAAATTCACTTGAGATGCCGCATGCGACCGATGGGCGTCCACAGTTTGCTCTGGTAACATGGGTTTAAT